GTGTGTGTGTGTGTGTGTGTGTGTGTGTGTGTGTGTGTGTGTGTGTGTTGGTTAATGTTGATTAACAGTGGTGGCCATCATGAATTTGGTTGACCCTAAGTGAATCAGTTGTAGAGGTATGCCCAGTGAATATTTTTTTGAGATTTTATTTAAAGTCCAGTAAGCAGAGATATTTTGCTAATGGATAGAGTTGGAACTAAGACATATTCCCAAGGTTTTAAATAAAACTATTCCACAATATGTTGTGCTCAGAGGATGTATTGGGGATAATGCTCAGCAACAACCACATTCAATTCAATTTTAGCTCAATATCTATAAAATCCACTGAGTTATGGTGATTTTTGTGCTTTTCAAAGTCCATTAGTTCTCAGAGTTTGTATTAGTAATGACTCTCAGCTACTACCACACCACAGTTTAGATCATTATTTGTAATATTGATTGAGATGGAGCAACTTTTGTGTTTGACAAGATTGCTTAATGTGGCCAAGTTAGTCAGATGTAGATTACTTTTCTGTTTTTTTAATTATAGAACATTTGATGTTTTATCTGTGTCTGTGTCTAAAAAAATAACATTTCAAAATTATTCCTGAAGTAGACAATAACCACATTTGGTGGCTATAGCAACTTCAAGTAAAGGATGAGCAAAAAATGTGGTGTTGTCTTGGAAACTAGTGTCAATAATCCCCTTAATTAAGTAACTTAAGTACAAAAATCAATGTTGAGGGAAAAAAGAAGACAAACAGCAGCAGGTAGTATGCAGAAATAAAACGTTTATTAGATCATTATTATGGAGGTTAATAGATCTTACAAGTCAATGACATCAATAAATAGCTGATAATAAATAGTCCAAAATAACAACAAATATGTAAATATCACATATTGTATAAATACACTTTATAAAAGTATAATTCCACACATCATCTGGATGTAAAATATAATCTGTTTGACCCTACAAAGATAATAAATATGCTTTAAAATAAATAAATAAAAAGTTCAGTGTTCTCTGTCAAAGCTAAGTGATGTTACTGTAACAAACTGTTTTTTTTTTTTTTTTTGTAAGTGATGCTATTTAAGGATGCTTTCTGAGTCATGCTGATTTGTTCTGGAAGTCAGCGATTGTTCACTGGAGATGTTCGCCGCTGTTCATGTAGCTGATGGCTCGGTTAATGGTGATGGTGCGGACCTGGAAGCCCCTCAGCACTTTGCAGAGGCTCAGTCTTTCATTGAAGTTCCTCGTAGTGTCCACAGCATCCTTTATAGACAAACCCAGAAAGACAGGGGCACGTTAAAAAAACAATTTTTTCACACTTTTGTTGAATTAACAATTAAAATATAAGTGTTCTTACCTTTCTTGGGGCTAACTTTGTAGGTAGAGACTCCTTAAAGCAGTTCTGTCGAATACAAAATAAATTTTTATTTTTATTTGACAATTATGAAGTGTAAAATATAGATATATTAGATTTTTTTCCTATTTTGAATAGATACTAGATTATGTCAAATGCAATATCAGTTGGTGCTGGTGCGAGTTGTGTTGTAACGTTAAATCTGCTTTTTGTACTTTAACTGACCTCCATGAGCTCTCTGAGGCTGCTCAAAACAGACAAGTTGAGTAAATTGTCAGGATCTGGCTGAGCAGAGAGAAGATTGTGGTAGTGGGTCAGATCCGCTCCGATGTTCATCAAACAAGACTCCTGGATTGAAAAAATAAAAACAAACACGACTATTAAAACAACAACAACAACAACAACAAATCAGTTAAACTTATTTCAGTCTGTGAAACAAATAATGTGGTATTTACTTTGAAACATTAAAAGAGTAGCTTACCTCATCAAACTCTGATTTAGTACTTCCAGAACATGTTGATGTCTGGTGAAAGAAAGTTAAAAACTTTAGGACTACAGTAACAATAATAAAGCTCAAATAGCAGCATGTTTTTGGTGTTATTACCCGTGGGGAGCAGACAGACGGCGTGCTTGTCTCTAGGTTCAGCTCCATGTTCTGTTTCCTGCAATCGATCCCACTGAACAGTTTGGTCTGTTGGGAGCGGAGAAGCTTAGTCATCAAAACACTGTTCAACAGCGCCAATGGAGAATGCCACCTCTGCTTCTTCACTCACCTGGGTGAGTGTGTCTGTGATGTTCCTCAGGAGTTTTTCTGCGTAGAAAACACAGGAGTCCATCATCTGTTCCCCGCCTGTTTGTGGCAGAGACTGTTTGACCTGCGGTATGGGACTGCTGAGCACCAGCAGCGTCAGGGCAGAGCTGAAGTCTGGAAAAAGACAAAAATAAGAAAGAAAAAAAACATTTCAAATAAAAAAAATTGATTTCTTCTAACCGTTTGTGTGATCAAACAATCATGCTGAACGATACTCACAGAGCTTGAGGAGCATCTCGAAGAAATATCGACTCAAATGCGTTTGACTCAACTCAGGCACCCCTGATGGGTTTTATACCTAAAGTGATGCTGGGGTTTTCCTCCAGGGGCAGCAGCATGTTCAAGTGTAAACTGAAAGGGCCCAGTCAAAAGGATTTCATTTTCCCGCCTTCATACAAATTATTAACAGGAGGTTGAAACTGGAATTAACACGAACAAAGCACTATATGTCTATTTACCCATCAATGACTGTCTGTTGTTGACATTTCCACAGAAGGTAGAGTGAAAGCATGATGTTAGATGCTTAGTTTCCTCTTACTTGTTGTAGATAGTATTTTTAATGGCTTTGGTTTGGAGTTTCAGTCTGACCAGACTGACAAGCTTAAGGCTAGTAAGACTGTTTAGAACATCTTCTTTTAAAAAAATAATTCTTAGTGGATCACATGAAGTTTTTCTTTCTTTTAACCTTACATCAATTTTGAATGATGCAGCTGTTTGTAAGCACAGATAGCAGCAGCAGCTAGCTGTAGCACTTCAAGTGTAATCTGAGACACTTATGTTGGAGTGTAAAGGATTATAAGGTAACATCCCCATAAGCTAATATGAAATTAGTGATTTTGGAGTTGTAATCCACTTTGTTTTTGGCCTACTCAGGCTAGACAACGGGGTCAACATTAAACTCTGTCTCAGTTGTTCAGTGTCAAACTATTTAATCTCTTCAAAACAAACAAATTAAGCCCTTTAATCTCATAATGTTCATCTAATATTTGCTCTTTTCCAATAAATGCCAAACAAATTGATTTATTGTGCAAAAATTCAACAAAATGATTCCAAAGAGAAATTTCATAATAACCACAAAATATTTGAAAAAAATCAGCTAATACATTGTAAATGTTACAAATTTTGCCACTAATTTCAGTCATGATTATTTTCCACATTGTTGCAGAATTTCCTTTTGTCCCAACAGTTCTTTAAAACCATCTAAGGTTAAGTTTTAAGTTGATTATTTTAGATCATCATTAAAAACATTAGTTTTACTCCAACGYGTGTGCTTTTTAATAATAACCTCATCAAAATTGACATTTTGTCAACCTGGTCAGAGTTGTTTCCCTCCTACTTTGCTGTGAACCTCCTAAAAAACACTCTTGTTATGCATGTGTGAACAAAAAGCATGAATATGACTGAGTTGAGAAACTCAGCTCCGAGTTTAACACGTTAATGAGAAAAAAAAAAAAGCCCGAGTCTGTCTTTTTTTTCTCTCTCAGGTCACTCCAACAGATGGGAAATCACTCAAAATGTAAATCAGTAAAAAAAACAAGGTCAACACATCTGAAACATTTATTACTGGATTTGTGTTTACAATCAATTTACATACAGTACTTTATTTAAAATGGAGCAAATAATCTAAAATTCACCATTGTGTGGTTTGACATTCTTAAAAAGCTGAGTGTGAAAACATTGAAAGACATCAAAGCATTTTTTTCAATAAAGTGTCTCTTAACATTTACACACAATATATTCATAAACCTCTTAAACAGACAAAATATATTATCAGTCATTTATCCATATATTTGATATTTTGATGATGTAATAAAAAAACGATGTTGCATATTTCTATGACGGTTCACTTTAATATGCTGCCATGGTTTTCTTGAACATCTATTTTTAGCGACTTCTATTATTAGACRTAAAATAATCATCCTAGATGGTTGCAGGTAATTCGAGTGAGAAGTAGCAGTGCTCAAAGTAAAATAAATACACATTACAGGTGAACAGTGCGTGTCTACAATTATTGTGAAAATAAATGAGTTTTTTTTCTAAGTGATGAACCATATTCTAAAGCAAAAAAGAACCCAAGACATAAACAAAAATGTGTGACTGTGCAAAAATCACCTAACACTTAATACATCCTGGGATGGGTTTAAGTCGAGTGGAGTTCCCCCTAGAGTTTATGAGTGATGGGATGACTTATCATGCTGAGTGAGAGTGAAAGTGTTGCGCAAACTCATGTATCCTTATTGAAATCTTACCCAGACAGGAACCGTGCAGCGTTACTGCTTAAATAACGGGTATGTTCATACTAAATGCTGCATTTGGCTCTCCAGAAGCAGACAACATGGGTAGAGTTTTAACAGAAACACCATGAAAGCCACAGTGTGGAATGGGAGGTTTGAACKGCGTGCAGACAGATTTATGTTTTTTTTATTTAGAGGCTGCTTTCTCCGTTTGGTGCCGCTGATGGCTGTGTGCATGCCTGGAACAAACAAAAAAAAGTTAAGGTTTAGTTTGCTCTCTTTTAAAAACATCTGCTGACAGAAACAAGTTTTTTTTCCCACCTGGTGAGGTCCTCGATGTCCACCAACATGGCGTCTTGCTCGACGTGCAGCTCATCCCTCATCAGCAGCAGCTGCACCAGCTCCTCATTTAAACCTGTGATAATAATATGTATAATCTACTTGGTGTTTCAGAAAGTTCAGTAAGGAGTTTAAGATGGATTTATTTCTCAGTGACAACRGGACCATTTAGAAGGATAATCATATTTTTTAGTTTTTTTAAACCTGAGTTTTTGATGTACGATGGAGTATGAGGGCCACACTATGAGATTTTTTTTWAATATGAGAATAAAATCATAATGTTAGGACAATAAAGTCATAATTCTGCAAGAATAATGTAAGATTATGAGAATAAAGTCTTAGTATTTTGAGAATAAAGTTGTAATATTATAAGAACAAAGTTGTAATATTACAAGAATAAAGTCAAATGAGCACACCAACATGTAAAAAGCCATTGTGTTTAAGGTATAGCTTTTTTATATTGGTTTTACAAATAAGGAAATACTTCATTTTTCAACACATCAGCATCAAATTAATATCAGTAGCAGCACTTTGAAACAATTGTGCAAACAAATACATGTATTCAAATAATAAACTGAAGTTGTATGTCATTGAAAATAATGGCTACGTTGTCACATAATGTG